TCATATTTAGAAAAAATATTTTGGCTATTTTTCTATTACCTAAAAAACGACATAAATTAAAAAAAGATTCTCACTTTTGACTGGATTGATGGAGCAACGGATGTGAAGCAATTGATTCATAATGAGTATGTGTATGGTTTAGTTTTCAAAGTTTTGTTTGTTTACTTTTATGGAAAAATAATATAGTGAAAATGAACTTTTTCATAAACAGAAAAATGTTTTACATAATTTGCTCGATTCTTAAAAGAAAACAAATGGAGCATGATGGCTAAATTTCATATGATTGAAGGAAACATTGATGAGAGCTATTTGGTTGAAAATGAACATTTGTTTCTGCCGCTTTGCATATGTACGCTTTTTTATCTAGAAGAAAAACATGATTATATGAAGATGAATCGTTTCGTCTATCGAAAAAATCGATCAGATAATTTTCTCGATATGAAACAAACAAAAACAAAACAAATGTCATACTTAACTTTCAGAAAGTTGATGAAACCAGCGATGTATATCAATTAATTGTCAATAAGCACGTTGTCGTAGAAATTGCGCAAGTTCTGCTGGTTTCTCTAGATGAAGAAAATGATAAAATGAAGAAGAAATCTTTTATGTAGAAAAAAACATGTCAGATAACTTTTCAATATGTTAAAGTAGAATCAAATAAAACATCATACTTAACTATCGTCAGGTTGAAGCAAATATTGACATGACGCATTTCGTAGAGAACGACTAGCTGTTCGTTCTAGTTTCCGAAGGCTTGCTTGTGTATGTTGAAGAATAAGATGATCATATGAAGACGATTCACTTCATCTCAAAAAAATCATTTGGTTAATATTCTCGATATGAAAGACTTGAAGTCGAATGAAAAATTATACTCACTTTTATTCCGTTCTTCAAGTCATTGATATGGAACTATTGATTGAGAATGAGCACGTGTTCGTATCATTTCTGAAATATCTTATGTCTATATACATAGAGCAATTTATAGAGAATGAACACGAGTGTTTATTCCATGTTAAATGTTCACTTATTTATATGGGTCAATAGAAGCATTCGATGAGCATGTATCCGTCAATATACAAATGAATCGTTCGGAACATTTTCTCCAGTCGTAAAAAGTTATACAAAATGAAAAATCATATTTCGCATTTAGATTATATAAAAAGGTACGACTTCACTGAAAAGATACATATAGAAAAAAAATGATGGGAATCATGTAAAACATTTTGGTCGATTAGGAAAAATAAAGAAAAGTTTTAGGATAAGATGATGCGCTCATCGAGAAGGAACGATATTGATAATTCTCGTGACATTAACAAAGTGAAGACAAAATATTAACAATAGCGATTTAATTGAATATAATTGAGATTAGGATGCACCCAATGCGGCTGGTCGAAAAAGAAAACTTGCTCATATCTCTTCTGAAAGTTGTTTCTTTTATCCAAACTAAAAGAGAAGTTTTTTTCGTAAAGTAGATCTTTGTTTCTGCCAACGTATAAAGTATCGATACGAAAAGACTAAATGCAAATTGCATGTAATGCTATGGAAAACCACACGTGCTAAAATATGGAAGTAAACTCGAAGATATTTACTCTTGTTTGATCAGATCGTGAAAATACCCACTGCTCTCTTCTCAACTCTGAAAAATAGCACGTGTCTCTTTCTGTATGGTAAGACATGCTAGTTTATATTATTGTCGATTCTGAGGTTAATCAGACCTATATGATATTTTTCGAGAGTAACATGAAGTATCAATGACCAGAACTTTCTCTCAATGAATTTCGTTTTAGAGTTTTCATAAGTCGCTCTGTTACAGTGTTTGATGATTGAGTTGAAATAATTGTGATTGTCAAATTACATATAATTTTTTAAAAGGAAGTCATCAAAATATCTGGCAATAATTTTATATTGGAAAGACATTAA